TTTCTCAAATTCCAAACTCTTCAAATTTCAAATTCTTCAAATTCCAAACTCCTCAAATTCCAAACTCCTCAAATTCCAAACTCCTCAAATTCCAAACTCCTCAAATTCCAAACTCCTCAAATTCCAAACTCCTCACTCCTCAAATTCCAAATTCTTTAAATTCCAAACTCCTCAAATTCCAAACTCTTCAAATTCCAAACTCCTCAAATTCCAAACTCCTCAAATTCCAAACTCCTCAAATTCCAAACTCCTCAAATTCCAATCTCCTCAAATTCCAAACTCCTCAAATTCCAAACTCCTTAAATTCCAAATTTCTCAAATTCCAAAATCCTCAAATTCCCTAAATAGTAAAATCTAAAAATTCCAATTCCATCAAGCCAATAAAGAACGTGATTGACATAATTCGGCGAGGAACGTCTAGTTGATTTTTCGAAGAAAGTTTGTCAATTACGGTTTCAATTAGCTGCTTGTTTTCAACCAGTGTATACCAGGGTAGCGTGATTACTTGATTACGGGAAGACAGTTTGTCGATATTTCAGCGATTAGACCTGTTAAACTTAACTCCAACTACTCTGCACTTGTCCGTTATCATTACAGAGTCGATTAACTTGTTGCAGGAAATTGCCGCCGCTATAAATATCAATTACAATTTTTATCGAAACCGTCGACGACGTCACTTTACGTGCATTAACACCGCATCATTTTCTCTGTCAATTTATATCATCAAACTCTATTATTATTTCATCGAAAATAACTTCGCCCAGCATTAAAGCAGATAATGTTCATTAAAGAATCATTTCCATAAAGTCCGTAATAAAACACTCGTAAGAGGGTATCGTAAAACAGTTTGCTAACAGACAGATCTCTTTTTTTTCAGTAAAAAATTCCATGAAGTACGCGAGACCGTTCAATTATTTTCGATAGCCTCTGCCGTTGCACGTTTCGTTACATCGAAAAAAAAAAAACGGAAAAAAATATTGAACCGTATTTTATTTCACCGTTCTGTGCCCCAATTTGTTTCTCCTATTCTAGGACTGTTGAAATCGAATATATTGGAACGAAATATACGCGGTTCTCGAACAGTCGCGTTTCGATACTGTTACAAGAGGGTGAAAATGCTTATCTGATGTACCTACTAAATTCCAAATAATTTCTCTTCATTGTAACAGCCATCTCGATGTTTATTTTTTGCTATTAATGGAATTGTTTATCGAACAAAACTCGTACAGTAGTGAATCGTATTAATATCGATATTCGATGAACGTAGTTATATGTACAAATTAAATGGAAACAAGTCCTCTAGTTTATCGAAGAGACAATATTACAATTTTTTTGTCGATTTAATATTTGTTTGAATTTGACTTTTTGGTTAGGTTAGGTAGACTAGTTAGGTTAGGTAGTTACGTTAGCTAGTCTAGTTAGATTAGGTACTTAGGTTAGTTAGGCTAGTTGGGTTAGGTACTTAGGTTAGTTAGGCTAGTTAGGTTAGGTAGTTAGATTACGTAGTCAGCTTAGAGTTACGTTAGGGTTAGGTGGTTAGGTCGGGTAATTACGTTGGCTAGTCTAGTTAGGTTAGGTACTTAGGTTAGTTAGGCTAGTTAGGTTAGGTAGTTAGATTACGTAGTCAGCTTAGAGTTATGTTAAGGTTAGGTGGTTAGATCAATTAGTTAATGTTAGGTGATTAGGTAGGGTATTTAGGTTAGGTTGTTAGGTCAGGTAGTTACGTTAGTTAGTTAGGTCAGATAGTTAAGTTAGGGGTTAGGTCAGGTGGTTAGGTCAGGTAGTTAGTTTAGATGGTTAGGTCAGGTGGTTAGGTCAGGTGGTTAGGCCAGATAGTTACGTTAGTTAGTTAGGTCAGATAGTTAAGTTAGGGGTTAGGTCAGGTGGTTAGGCCAGGTGGGTAGGTCAGAGAGTTAGGTCAGATAGGTAAATCAGGTAGTTGGGTTAGGTGGTTTTGTCAGGTGGTTAGGTCAGTCAGTTAGGTCAGATAATTAGATCAGGTAGTTGGGTTAGGTAGTTAGGTTATATTGGTATCACGTAGCAATTATTATTGAGCTTGAAAGTTGTAGTAACAGTTAATGAAATTTTAGAAGCTATTCAAAACAGATACGTGAAATACAATATTGCAAAGTAATGATACTAGAGTCGGCAATCGAAACAACGAGTTTTCACGCTGGCGAATATCTATAATAGAAATCACGCGAATTTATGAGTAATATACACCGCCATAGCCGAATTCATCGATATTCAATTCAAAACGTGCCATTGAAGTCGGTAACAGAGGTAACACGTACTCGTTTCACCATACGGGGCAGGGGTGCTGAATTTCCAATCACGAGTTCAATTTTGGATTTCAACGTTCTCGCGTTTCTTCGATCTCGTATTTCACCCGGGGTATCCCGTGGCCTCTCGAACTTTTGCGATAACCGAACGAAAGCTGTCCGTCCGTCCAGATCAAAAACCAACAATCGCGCAAAATCCTCGTGTAAGTCGGCCGACGTGAAACTTCCGACTGGAAGTTTGTCAAGTAGCTACATCGGGAAATTTCGTAAGCCCTACGTTTCTCGTTTTTCACCCTTACCCGGCCAATTCGATATCGGAATTTGATCAAATCCTCTCTGCATCCCTCACGGGTTCGGGTCGGGAGCCACCCTCTGTTTCCTCGAACCCTCCCAGATCGAATTCTTCCAGCTCGAGTGACATGTCGCCGAGTTTACCCGTTTCCAACCCCCGACCCGAGCGAGGTATACATCGGGTGGTGCGTAAGTAACGGAACGACACCCTGTGCGCGAGGGGGTGGACGACGCTTCCATATACAGCTGGATAAGGGTAATGGCAGGGTTTCTAGGAGAACGGAGTATACGTAGGCATCGGGGAATAGAAAAGGGGGTGGTGGTTCCATTGAATGGCCCCTCGGGTGGCTGTGCCAACAAACCCTAACTAACGTAAATAAGATGTCCTAGAAGGGTGGCTCTCTGCATCTATCCTCTCCTTTGTTTCTCTGTCCTTTGCCCCTCTTCTTTTATCCGACCATACTTTATTTCTCGTCACCCTATTTCTTTTCCTCTTGATCTCCTGCGACCGTCTTCTCACCCCCCGCTGCACTGATGAAGCCCCGGCTCAATTACCGGGGATTTCTTCGCGGAAATTCGCCGACTCGAATGTTTCTTGCGATTCCTCGTCACGCGTCGAAAACGTCGAATCCGCGAATCCGAGGGTTGTATAGCCTTTTGTACAGAGGGGTGGTCAACGGGCCGCGATGAATCGACCGAATTTGTAAAACGATTATAGAATATGTTCGAGTGGATGCTACAACCCCATGGATTTGCGGTGTTCTTTTAGCTACCTCACCAAATGAGTTTCGTATAATATAATGATCGAGGGTGAGAAGGCAGCTTTCTGCTCTGCGCGGAGCTTTCGATGCTGGGGCGTAATTAGGTGACGGGTTTTAGGGATCATGAATTACGGTTCTCGAGGGTTTCGTGCGGAGTTTCTAAGATGATGACGGTTGAAAATTATTGTTTTTAGAAAATTATAGGGGGTAGTTTTTGTGATGTATATTCTGAGAGGCTGGAGAGTTTTGATGAATAAGTAGTCGCGAATTTTTGTCACCAACCTAATTGCATGCTTTCTTGACAATAAAACAACGACACCATTCTTCTTCGGACACAATAAGGGGTTAACGATAATTGATAGCGCTTAAAGCGGCTAGCTCATCAGACGTCAGAATTCCAACCGGAAATTTCGTTGAGTTACAAGATAATGGCCATTCTGATGGTCCTCTGTAAGCGAGAGACGATCATTTACCATGTACATCTCATTTATACAGGCTGCTTCATACATGTGGGTCAGGATGTAACTCATGGAAGACATACAAAAATCTTTCACGAAAATTAAATGTTCTATGAAATCATGCATGCTTTTTTTTTTAAATAACTCTCTTTATGAAACATTTCTTATAATTATTAAAATTTAATATTCTGAAGTGGGATTTTAGGTGAAAAACATGAAACGGTATAGGTAAATAGTAGCAAGTACTTCACAGTTAATTTTGTTAACATATTTAATACTTCTTTATAATCAAACTTCATTTCTTTACGAAGAATCTTGTACATTATCTTGTAAATTATCTATGAAGACCCTTTGTAACCTATTATACAGTCACACTTAAATTTCTTTCTTCCTAAAAAAAAGTGAACCTTGAAATCTTCACAGCACTTACATTCTAAGTGCTACAATTTAATTTTATTCTATGAGATTATGTTTTTAAAGCAGTAGATACATCATCCAGACTACATGAAACGCGCTGTATAATTGGATGTCGGTTCAGCGAAGGTTATTAGTCATCCTCGGGGCATAGTCATCCGGATGACTGTAGGAAAATCTGTAATTCACCCCTGTCATACGTTCTTCCTCTGCCCTTTGACTAAACGATCCGGAAATGATGAATTCGCAAAGCTTATCGCAACTACGTCGCCCGTTGTTTCACGAACGAGCCGAAATAAGCTGTCCCAGGCCGAGATATTTCTTGGGGTCGTAATCTTTGTTAGAGGTACTGCTCTTAGTCGATTGCTAAACTTCTTATCGCGAAACGAACAGACCATGGGACCGAAAATTGGACTTTCCGTTTGAATCATCTTCTGCTCAGCACGCAGACGTCCTTCGAATTACGTACCGTCTGTTTCACTCGTTAACTTCCTATCAAGAGACGTACACTCTGATAGAGTTGTCTATCTGATAGTCCCTTGGGATGGACATATATTGCAAATTCGGACGGGTACGGAGATAATTGTTTATCGAGGAACCAGAAATTGTGGTAGGTTAGTTTATCTTGTAGGTCATTGTTTTATTTGTAGGCTCTTAATTTTTTTTATTTACAATTTCATTATTATTTATACTTTTGTTATTTTTGCTCCGAAGCCTGAAGATCAAAAAATCCTAAAATTCCAATTTTCCAAAAGAAAATTTTTAAATTTGCACAAAAATCCCAGTGACTCATACGTGGCGCTTTCTAAACGTCCTCGCAAAAGCCACAAACCGGAAGTCGACCTCTCCCTTAATTTCGTCCACGGTCATCGTCGCTCGAGCGAATTAATTGTCGCATCGCAATTTCGCTGACACCGTGTCCCACGACGGTAAACTCACTTTGGTAAACCGAGAACAGCCTTTTTTTCCTGGTCATTTGACACAGTTTCAATTTTAGCAACACAGTGGATTACGTCAACGGTGCACGCCAACTAACCGGACGTGTTCGCGTTTTTTCGGGTGCGATCATAAGTTGACTTTACACGAATAAATAGCAGTGGTTTGCAAACACCTGTAAGAAACAACTAATAACAAAGGTACACAATAAACAGTAGGGTGTAATCGCACCCCTAATAATATAAATCCCGATAACAAACGCAAACAGTGATCCCACATGTAACACCAATATTCGCAAACGTAATCCCACGTTCACAGAACCTCTGCGAATAAAATTCCTGGCAAGTTGTAAATTTTGGAAGGACGTAATAGTCGTCGGCAAACATTTGCAATGGCAGTGTAAAGAGAAGGCTAGCAACGGGCACACGGCTGTAGGAACGTTTCCTAGTTAGTCCAATTCCGTACTTTCGCTCGTCACGATTAATTAGCTTAATTCTGGCTTCCTGTTGTGCGTACCGACGGGGCACCCTACGCCGGTTGCGTGTCACGCCGACATAACCGGCTGCATTCCGTCCTCATAGTTGACGCACGTATGTTGTCGTCGTCGTAGTCGTAAAAGCAGTCCTGGCATCTGCCATGTCTCGAGGATGAGCGCCGCAGAGACGTCGATCTGCATTTCCGTGCTGTGCGTTTACGTGTTCCGGGGCACACCGCCGCCTCGAGACACTGATCCTGCGGGTAAGAAGCTTACAACCTCCCTATCGATATACACCCATCACGATGATACGATAACAATGCATTGTTGATTGCGTTTCGCGCAAACGATACGGGATCAGGCTGAAATCGATTAATTAACACGGCCTGGCGAATCGGTTTCACCTGATAAGCTCATAGGCTTTTGGTAGAAATTTAGTCTTGGAACAACTGATTCTTTTGTTGTTCTTGGGGGAAGTATGTTTTATTACTGATCAATGTTGGTCTGGTTAACTGTTTACCAATAGTCACAGATTGCAATGTTGCAGTATTCCTAAGTCTCCTTCGATTGAGCCTTATAATTTGTCTATAGACTTGGATCAACAGTTTCAAATATCTCTTGATGAAATACCTAGTTGCACATACCTCTGAATCCCAAACTATCTACCTCTGAACATCTCTATGTACCTATGTATCTCTGTAATGCCCTTCGCTCTGAATACTCTCTGGTTGTAATATCACTATAGCGTCCCTACATTAACACCTTAAATTTGGGTATTCTCGAGAACCTCCCTAATTCCAAACCCTCCTAGAACTCCTACAAACCATTCTCCATATCCTGATATTCCCACTACTGATCCTAATACTCCCAAACCTATCTTCAAGAGATAGAGGAGTGCTATCTATCCAATAAATACTTTTCTCTAACAATCCTACAAGAAATTTGCAATAAATCCTGATGTCCCATAAAATAGTTAAACAGCGTTAAAAGAGTCGATGTCCTGCGTCCATAAAAATACGCAAACATGCAAGGACACGTTATTACAGAATTAAGTGCAATTACCGGCGTCCGTTCCGTGCAAGGAAAGCCCGTGTCTGTTCTAGACGCGTTAACGATCTGTTTTCATTGTAACGACCAGTCACGTCTCGATTTTGCTTGCAGCTTACGCGAAGCAGGCTTCCTTGGAGATCCTGCCGAGCGGGGATACACAGACGAAGCCAGTCGGGTCCAGCATCATCCTGACATGCAAATCGAACGTCGACGACATCAAGCTCATCAAGGATATGCAATGGCTCGATCCACAGAATCGTACGATCGAGTCCCTCAAGTGAGTAGATCCGTTTGATGTGAACTACGTAGATCGTTAACCAGGATCCTCTTGCTACCTTCGTCTCTTGCTGTTAGTATATTCTCGTTGCAACTGGGTTCTGACCAAAGGTCCACAACTTCTGATTTGGCTATTTAAACTGAATATTGATTGGAGGATCGATTGGGTGGAGGGTTTTTGAACTTCGACGGAGTTTCTGATGATTTACTTTTGGTGATTGATTTTGAGGTCATTTTTGGTAATTTAGTTTTTGAGAGATGATTAATTTTTGGGAACTTTTGGTAACTGGTAATTTGTAATGAGAGCTGATTAATTTTTGGGTAGCAATTTTAATCTTATGAATATACTCATTGGTATCTCAAGATCACTAAATATTTAAATTCGTAAATTCATATTGTATATTGTAGTTAAACTTGTATATTGAGTTTCTAAATTTTTTAACTTTTAGATGTGTCAATTTATAAATTATTAAATTATTGATGATGTCAAAAATGTATAAATTTGTACATTTAAAAATTTGACATTTCTAAACAAATAAATAGAAACTCGTTTAAATTTTAACATATCTAAATTTCAATATCTCTCACGTCACAAATCGAAAGACAAATCTATAAACTCGTAACCTAAAAATTTCAAAAGTACCTACCTTTTTCTACAATTAAAATTTGTGTATAATTCAACGTCTCCAAATTGAATAAAACTTTGCACCACTTTAATCCCCGTTATATTAAAAAAAAGGGAGGAAATTGATTTTAACGTCGTGTCGCTGCGAATATGGAGAGCTGTAAACACTCGCGAAAGCAACGAGGATCCGTTGATTTATTAAATTTCACTGATTCGTCGAAACATGCAGCGTTATAATTCAAACGACGATGTTAAGAGCGAGAAGCAGGGTGGAAAAAAAAAGAAATTCGCGACAGTGCAAATAACGTTTGTCAGACCAAACGAGAATATACGAGCAAGGGACGCGTACGCTATTGAGCTTCTTTTGACAATAAAAGAGCCACTTTTAGCGGATAATTGAAACGAGAGATGTGTAACTCGGTATTGATTTACAAATTCAAATTAAGAACTTGTTATACAACTGTTTTATTACAAATTCTTCTCACGAAGATTCGTTTTCAATTTTATATTTTCTTTGAATGGAAAGCAATTTCAATTTATTATATATATTGGTGTATTTAATTAATTTATATCTGTGCTGGAAATGTAATTGTCGTTCATAGTCATAGTTCATAATTCAAAAAAATTTATAAAGAAATTTGAGAATTTTTTATTGCCTTCCAATGTTTAAGTGCAGTCTTTAAATTTACAAGGAAGTGCATTTCAAGCTTAAAAAACAGAAAGTCCTTTTTTCATTTTGCACTCCAATTGAAAGTTCAACTACTCGATACTGGAATTTAATTATTCAAAATAGAGTAGAAAATGAAAAAGTGTACTCTTGACTTTTTAAATGAACCTGAAATTCATTTTTGGAGCTGCCCCATAAAAAATTGCAAGTTTCATGCCCTCACCCCCTGCGAATTCACACACACCTCGAATAAAATTGAACAATAAAAAATTCTCAAATTTTACAAATTAAACTGGACATCAAATTGAATAAAGAATCTCGAGTTACACATGTAGAAATTTTTTTTTCCACAAAATTTTTTGTATAACACCCGAGCTAGGACCACGAACCAACACCCACGCAACAGCACTAATATAACGAACTTCTGTCACTTGTTTTGCACACAGACTGGCCGTTTGGCCGCTCGAAAGGCGAGTATACAAAACTGAATTCAAGACTATTTCATTAACACGCACCCAAAGTAGTGTCGTAACCGAACCTCCATTTTCTCATTGTTTTGCGATCGTATCCCCAACATTTTCACTGTTGGACTTTCTTGGAGCCCCGAACTGTTATCCAACTTAGAAGACGCTGTCTTTCTTGGCTGCCCCATCTCTTAGAGCACCACTCACCCCGCGGCTGATTTACGTCTACAACAACCCCCTGCACACTGGAGCTCTTAATTGCTGCAGGTCCGCCCGATTGTTCTGCTAGCTAAGCGTTGCTCATTAAGCTGTTCGAGAAAGTTTTCCGCCTTCCGTGGCCAAACTGACTTCCTGTTCTATTTGAACAACGCCGCTGGCTCTCCCTATGTATACCTTGCTGCCGAGGCAAGAAAACCCTTCGCTAAAACAGACGTTAAAGGATGCGTGATACTCAACGACAACAACAGGCCAACCGAGCAATTAAGTGGCTCCATTATCACACTGTTTCTCCTAACCCTTTCGCTCTATCAACCTACATAGGTGGGTTACTACCAAAAGTTCACTGTGGACGGACGAACTTTATGCAAGTGGAATCGTATTGTTGTTTGCGGTAATACTTGTTTCGCTGGAGATTAGCTTGTTTGCCGGGAAAATTATTGGAGTTGGCAATAGGTTGTGTTAAAAACTGGCCAGGATTTTGGAATTTGTCGGAAAGTTTCATTTGCAAATCCACACATCTGGAATGGAGTTTGTTTGGATTTCATAGTTTCAAAAAGTTCATACTTTTGTACTGAATCTTTAATGTCTACATTCTAGGATACCAAGTACTTAACCCTAAACCTACCGGCATATAATGTGCACTCAAATTGAAATTAAAAATGAAGTTAAAAAATAAATAAACAGACGAAACATAAATTAGTACACACATTTATTCTTTACCTTGATGAAAATCAATGCTGATTTCAAGGAATGTACTTTACCAAAATATGTACCTTATAACAGAAAACTTGTGGAGCGGTCATTTGACCGGTTTGGTAGTTTTAGCGTTACAATATCAAATTTTTCATACTTTTTTTATTCTGAAACTTTCTTCACATTATTAAGTCTACGAATTTCATACCTGTCAAATCCTAAACCCTAAACCTTGAGTCCCCACACCCAAATTCCCATGTCCCTAAATCCTTGACCCCCGAAGAGACCCTCAAACACATAAACTCTCCAGTCCTCAATATTCCAAACACCCAAATTTTGCAAAATGTACGCACGCAACGACAATGGTCCACAGTGAACATTGGTAATGAAACTCGAAGGGTTAACATCGAGAAACCATAATCATTCCATCTACACATCCACAGCTCAGTATCATCTGTCTAACCCCGGTGTTAGTCTGCGCGATGAGGATCGATCCTTTGGCTAAATAATGTATATCGCGGCTAGCGTCTTGCAAATATTGAACCGTGCGATCAAACAGTCGAAACGAGCGTTAACCTCGGTGGTAACTGATTCGTCGGATCGCGTGTTTGCTCGATTACGCGGACCCCGTAGAGATTTGCATAATTATGTCCGCTCCTCGTGGCGAGTAATGGCCGATAAATTCAACGACGGACGCGTGTACCGGCCCGAGAACCGTTTCATTAATCCTACTTACGGATCGTGTTTCCGATTAGGGAAGAAGAAAGGGTATTATTGCATAATCGTCGGACTAACACTGCTGCATACACATCTCAATATATCCAGGCACACATCACGTGCAGAATGGCCTTTATTGGCCGGTGTACAGTTTTTCGTTTGTGGCGGTGATTTGGTCGTTGCAGGTATGATTAGGGACAGGTGTGGATTTGAGGGTGCAAATTGGGGAATTTGGGGATGTTGAAAGGTGGGGATTTAGAGGGTTGGATGTGTGGGAATTTGCGGATTTGAGAGTTTTGGAATTTGGGGGTTTAGAGGGGTGGACACGTGGAAATATGGGGATTTGAAGATTTGGAAATTTAGGAATTTGGGGGTGTGGAGAGTTGGACACGCGGAAATTTGGGGATTTGAGAATTTGGGAATTTAGGGATTTGGGGAATTAGAGGGGTGGACACGTGGAAATTTGGGGATTTCGAGATTTGGGAGTTTAGAAGTTTGGGGGTGTGGAAAGTTGGACACGTGGAAATTTGGGAATTTGAGAATTTGGGAATTTAGGGATTTGGGGAATTAGAGGGGTGGACACGTGGAAATTTGGGGATTTGAAGATTTGGAAATTTAGGAATTTGGGGGTGTGGAAAGTTGGACACGTGGAAATTTGGGAATTTGAGAATTTGGGAATTTAGGGATTTGGGGAATTAGAGGGGTGGACACGTGGAAATTTGGGGATTTGAAGATTTGGAAATTTAGGAATTTGGGGGTGTGGAAAGTTGGACACGTGGAAATTTGGGGATTTGAGGATTTGGAAATTTAGGAATTTCGGGGTGTGGAGAGTTGGACACGTGGAAATTTGGGGATTTGAGGATTTGGGAATTTAGGAATTTGGGGATTTAGAGGGTTGGACACGTGTAAATTTGGGGATTTGAGGATTTGGAAATTTAGGAATTTTGGGAATTAAAGGGTTGGACACGTGGAAATTTGGGGATTTCAAGATTTAGGAGTTTAGGAGTTTGGGGATGTAGAGGGTTGGACACATAAAAATTTGGGGATTTGAGAATTTGGGAATTTAGCAATTTGGGGATTTAGAGGGTTAGACACGTGAAAATTTGGGTATTTCAAAATTTGGATATTTAGAGGGTTGGACATATGGGACTTTGAGCATTAGAGGATTTTGAAGCTTAGGAATTTGAGGATTTAGAAATCTGGGGACGTAAAGGGTTGGACATGTGGAAATTTAGGGCTTTGAAGATTTGGGAGTTCAGCAATTTGAAACTTTAGAAATTTGAAGATCTGGAGGCTCGTAAAAAATATCTAAAAATGAAACCCCTTATATATCAAATCCATATCTCAAACCCCACATATACCACCCTACATGGTGGATCAGTATATCAAACCAGGTTCTCTTAGGTTGTTCTGCAGTATACCTAAAGCTAATTGCACCTGAAACCACCAACTTAACCATAATCACCGCCACTCCTTTTTCCCCATTCTTAGATCGACGGGTATCTCGCATTACCTAATCGAAAGGGTTCATTAGAGCGTATCGTTGCTGACGGGGGCGTTCGAATTCGCATCGAAACTATTCATTACGACTCGATTCAGCATCCGCCTGGACCTTATCTCCGCAACCGTACTCTGTCATGCAGTGTTGTTAAATTGTGTGAATTCATGTGAATGCGTCTCGTTTGTACCAGTTTATCTCCCCGCCACCCACCCCCGTTCGTCGCTCGGAACACGAGCGACAGAACAGAAATTGCTGGTCCTCGTTGCTGGCGTGGGATCCAAACAGAGAATTCAACGAGGTGTGTTCTTCGTGTTCGATCTGACCCTTACGTCGAGAATTAAGGTCGATCGATTACGACCACTTCTCGATCCCACGCCATCGATTCGAATTCGATGCAGCCACCGTTGTTCACTGCGTGTACCATTCTCACACCCCCTTAACCCCCTCTCTATAGTCACATAGTGATATTTCACCGATATCGGCACGGTGTTTCGCGTTAGAATACGGATTAGTTATTGTTCACGGTTTATGGCCTTCATCGAGGCTACGGTTGATTGGAAAATATTTGCTCAAGTGTTGTTTATTGCCGGTAATAGTGCTCGATTGATACATCTACAATTTTCGGCTCGTAATCATTTCTGGTATCATCACTGAATTATGGTGGTTTTTCATTTCTTTTTTAATTGAAAAAATACTGCTTTCGTATTTATTCGTTTTTGCGAAAATACTGGTTTAAACATTTCACCTTTCTAGTCTCTTCTGATTGGTACATTGATATATTTACGACATTAGTTTTTATTGAAAAGCAAACAGAAAATTTTGCAAAAAATACCTACTTAAAAATTCGAGTTTAGTTCGATACAAAAATTCACATCGTGACAAAATCAGGAATTTAAAATATTTCGAAACACCGAGCCGATTTGCAACAACACCGTCCAAACATCTCATCATTCCGTTCAATTATTCCGTGTAGCACTTTCTCCGGACACACAAAACCACCGATGTACACCGAATTCCACCAGGATAAGAGCTTGTCGTTGTTCTTCAATTCGTTGCAAGAGGAACAAGCAGGGAAATACAGGTGCAAAGCCAATTATGCGGACACAATTGATCTGCAGAAGTCCGTGACGATCGAAACCATAGGTGAGTAGAAATTTCCATAATATTGAACTTTGTACTTATCGGTTTTCGTTCAATCTTCGGAAACCATTCTTCAATGTTCGCGGTATTATTCCATTTTCTTTTTAATAAAGTGTTAGCTCTCTGATTCATGATCCATTCTGCAGATTGTATTCGTTTAAGGAACTTGTGTCGAATTCGAGTATTAATCTGGAAACTTGCTGAATAGAAGATGAATAAGTTTTAGGATGAATATATTTTTTTATAGTTTTAAGTAGCAAACATACATGATTATATACAAACTTTACGTTGGTTCGTTAATCCCTTGCTGTATGGTCAGCAGTTTGTCAGATGTGACAGAACTGCTACAATGAAACAAGTAATGAAATATTATGTCAACTCAGTAAACCTTGACTATGCAAATAATTAAACATCAATTGGACATAAACTTCAAATTAAGGTATTACTTTGAAGCATTACTTAAAAATCATGTTCGAACTCAAACTCAACAAAGTACGGCACGGGGTTGCATTTTAACAACATACACAAATAGAAAAAAATAATTCCAGCTATTAAGTTTGCATATTTATTCAATTTTCTAAAAAATTTCCCAGATTGCAGGGTAAACCTACAATGCAAGGGTAGTAACTTAAAATTCGTCATATTTTCACAAAAATCGCTGGCGAGATCTAATATAGGAAAACACGACGAATGGTAGGAAGAGATAGGAAAAATAATTACTGTTGCAGTGGCGATCACTTGGGACAATGCACCCCTCAATCAATATCCCATTCTGGGAGATGATTTCGCTATTCAGTGTAAAGTGCGGGCAAGACCTTCGCCCTCGGTCGACTGGCTGTACAACGGTGAATTAATTAAGACGAACGAGCGCTACATTATAGAACCGTATGCCCTGAAGATCAAGAACGTTCAAGAATCTGACGACGGCACCTACACTTGTCGTGCATCGGTACTGACTACGGGAGAGCTCAAAGAACGAGCTATTCGAGTCGAGGTACGTTTCATGCAATATATCAAGCCTGTCGAAAAGTTCTGTCTACTCAGACTGTTGAGTGCTGTGTCTTTTGCGTTAGCGTGATAGCTTAGCGTTTGTGTCTAAATCGTACTTGATGAATGTTCATTGGCAACAATTATCAAACTATTATTTACTTTCTATTCTATTATGATTACTTTCAAGTTCCTCGTTCAAGTTTTGTACGAATTAGATTTTTTTATTTGCGAAATTTGAAGGTTTGATATTTTTACTAGATTGTAAATTCGTTGGATTAAATTCAGTACGTATTTTGTTGGTAGTTAAATAGCAGTCCTAGTTAAGTCACTCAGAACATGGAAGTTGTCACATATTTTTAAATTTCTGTATTCAGAATAAGAAAACCTACAGGTCATATCGACAGAACTATTTCTGTCCTAACGAAAGTACATTAACACTTGAGAACTTGTCAGTCGAAGTGTCAATTACCAGCCTGCAAAATTATTCCCCTCTAAATACGGATTATCCGAAAATGGGCGAATATGCCAATTATTCCGAGTTACCACAGGTATCAACCCTTGCATCCCCAACAGGTGCACGTGCGGCCCACCGTGGAGGAGTTGTCCAGCCCGAACATAATCGAAGGGGAAGACGCGAGCATCCAGTGCAGGGCTCACGGCAAGCCGCCTCCAAAATTCACATGGGTGAAATCGCTGACCCAGCAGAACCTGTCGACCGCGGAGCGGTTCACAGTCGACGCGGACACGGGCGTGTTGACGATCAAGAACGTGAACCGGGAGGACGCGGGCGAGTACCAGTGCACAGCGACGAACGCGGCGGGCACCGCGAATACGAACATCAAGGTGAACGTGATAGTGAAACCGAAGATCATGGAGTTCCTGAACAGCACCGTGGTGCAGGACAAGGAGGCGAGTTTGATCTGCAAAGCTTTCGGACGACCGCCCCCGCAGGTCACGTTCCGAAAACACACGTCCGAGAAGCCGTACTCGAAGGGTGCGCAGCTCGACGACGACAGGATCGTCCTGACGAACAGCGCGGACGACATCACCGGGGAGACTGTGGGTACTCTGACGATTCGAGAGTCTCTCAGATCGAATGACGGCCTTTACGAGTGCATCGCGCAAAACGCCGGAGGTGAAGCCCGCAGAAACGGTCATCTGACGGTCGAGTTTCCACCGTCGTTCGCCTCCATGCCGAACGCGACCGTCTGGTCCTGGGAGCAGAGGCAAGTGAACATCAGCTGCATCGCTGAGAGCATACCGAATGCCACGATACGATGGACCGTGCACGGAGATCAGAAGATCGACAACGATAACATGATCAAGCAGCTGGGCAATGGTCCGTACTCCACGTTGATGATCGTACCGCTCGACAAACGGTATTACACCACTTACAAGTGTATCGCCTCGAATGCGCACGGAACGCGGGAGCACAATATAGAGCTCAGAGAAGCTACCAAGCCGGGCGAAATACTGCAGGCGAAGATGGTGGAGATCACCGCGACCACCATCAAGTTCGAGCTGGTTCTACCACCCACTCAACCTGAACTGCCCTTGCGGACCATCACCGTGCAGTACAAGGAGAGCAGTCAGACTTGGATGGAGGCTAAGAACAAAACTTGGTCTGTCAGTAAGTAAAATTTATTCAACTATTCCATTATATTCAAATCATAATTTTATGATTTGAAGTGGGCACTCTTTTAACCCCTTTGAAAGTTAAGTTAAAGCTAATGCTGCAATGTTCAGATAAATGAGGAGAATTGAACTGTTAGGTGTAAACCGGGAGGACGCGGGCGAGTACCAGTGCACAGCGACGAACGCGGCGGGCACCGCGAATACGAACATCAAGGTGAACGTGATAGTGAAACCGAAGATCATGGAGTTCCTGAACAGCACCGTGGTGCAGGACAAGGAGGCGAGTTTGATCTGCAAAGCTTTCGGACGACCGCCCCCGCAGGTCACGTTCCGAAAACACACGTCCGAGAAGCCGTACTCGAAGGGTGCGCAGCTCGACGACGACAGGATCGTCCTGACGAACAGCGCGGACGACATCACCGGGGAGACTGTGGGTACTCTGACGATTCGAGAGTCTCTCAGATCGAATGACGGCCTTTACGAGTGCATCGCGCAAAACGCCGGAGGTGAAGCCCGCAGAAACGGTCATCTGACGGTCGAGTTTCCACCGTCGTTCGCCTCCATGCCGAACGCGACCGTCTGGTCCTGGGAGCAGAGGCAAGTGAACATCAGCTGCATCGCTGAGAGCATACCGAATGCCACGATACGATGGACCGTGCACGGAGATCAGAAGATCGACAACGATAACATGATCAAGCAGCTGGGCAATGGTCCGTACTCCACGTTGATGATCGTACCGCTCGACAAACGGTATTACACCACTTACAAGTGTATCGCCTCGAATGCGCACGGAACGCGGGAGCACAATATAGAGCTCAGAGAAGCTACCAAGCCGGGCGAAATACTGCAGGCGAAGATGGTGGAGATCACCGCGACCACCATCAAGTTCGAGCTGGTTCTACCACCCACTCAACCTGAACTGCCCTTGCGGACCATCACCGTGCAGTACAAGGAGAGCAGTCAGACTTGGATGGAGGCTAAGAACAAAACTTGGTCTGTCAGTAAGTAAAATTTATTCAACTATTCCATTATATTCAAATCATAATTTTATGATTTGAAGTGGGCACTCTTTTAACCCCTTTGAAAGTTAAGTTAAAGCTAATGCTGCAATGTTCAGATAAATGAGGAGAATTGAACTGTTAGGTGTACTTTGAATTCAGGGATTATGTGAATTGATCTCAGAATATAATTTGTTGTATCTGAAGTGTAATGTGTGTCACGAGACTCTTTATTAGTCAAGGGTTAAATAGGTATACTTTTAAGAACATTAATATAAGGTTTACCAGTTAATGTTCTTAAACATTAACATAAGGTTTATTCAGTGAGTTACTTAAAGATAAGGTACAGGAATCTAAGACGAAACAGATAGGTATAACATTAAGATCCTCTTAACATTAAGATTCTGTTAAAGATCCTAGAGAACTTTCACACAATAGATACAATAAGCGTAGCGATAGAAACAGCTTAATCGAACAATAGCCCAGATCAGAGCGCCGAAGACTTCCAGCGCAGAAAGGATTAAACTGACATTTAATCACGAAACAGCGTAAAGACCCCGTAATCACTGTCCTCTGTTCGCTCGTTCTAGACTCCATGTACGTGCTAGAAGATTTGAAGCCGCAAACCTCCTACGAGTTCCGATTCGCAGCCAGGAACGTGGTGGGTCTAGGAAACTGGGGTGGTTATCACTCGCAGATGACGCCCGTCAGGACATTCCCGAACGAACCAAAGATCATAACAGCGGGTTCCGAGTACGACGTGTCGATGTACAACAACCAATACGAATTGAGATGGACGAAACCCGCCGACAACGGGGAACCCATCGACATGTACCAAATCAAATATTGCCAGATACAACGTGTCGCCAGCGAATGGGAGACGTTAGAAGAGACGTGTCGAACGGAGGATTTGAGGAGCGCCGGCAGGGTGAGCCATTGGGTGAAGAACCTTTATTCGGACAAATTTTACGTGGTGGAATTGAAGGCGCACAACGCGATGGGTTTCAGCAAAGCTGGCTCGGCCAAGTTCAAAACCGCCAGGGGTAAGTTTCTCTATTTTGTTCGCATCCCATAGAAAAACGACTCGATACGCGAAACACGTTCCATATTTTTTTTTCTATTTTTTTTTTATTCGTCGTGTTCCAACACCTTCACGACGGTATTAGTGCCCCCTTTTTATCAAGTCGTATATTTTTTCCTCTTTGAAACGTTTTTTGATTATATGTGCACGAGGCTATTGCACCGACTGATATGTTGTTCTCCTGTTTATTTATTTATTTTTTTTTTCATTTGAGGAGAAAGACCAACTTTATTCGCCTCTGTTTTTGTTCACTCAAGGAGGAGGGAAAAGGGTCATTGAGGTATTTTCGATTATTTTTGCATCGAGACGAGTTCTCGACGAACGTTCACGTTCAACTAAGGATATTTCGTTTCGAGAAAATATCGAAACGGGAGAATCCTCAGTCCCCTTGACCCTTGTAGAAGCAATGCGATTTTAGAGAAACTGTCATGTAGAGAATCTTGGTGGGCATCTAGGCGTGCAAGGAATATTTAGCAAGTGATAGACGTTGATTTTCATCCTTTTCTCGTACGATGCTCGAATATTAAATTGTAGAATAGGATTTCGAGTTGACATTTGAGTATCGTATCACGATAAAAGGGCACATCAAAATCAACGTGTATAATTTTCTTAACATTCCTCGTTAGATATCCCTCCCATTTAACAAAACATCAAGACACAACAAAACGATCCTTCTACAAGTCACTTTTTATCATTCAGAATCTACGCGCCCCAATGTGGACTACAATTTAGATACTTCCGCTGGAGGTACTCGCAAGCTCGACGTCAGCGCCATTGCCACAGCAATAACGATCCTAATCCTAGCCATTTAAAAATAATAAAACAGAATACAATAAAAAAACACTATTCACTGCTCTGATAAATCCGTTTAGTGGTACACGTTAGAAGTGCTAATGCGTATGATTATCCTGTCGGGCATACACCGAGGAACACACATGATGGACAGGAGACGAAACACTTCTCGCGTGTATATACGTTCGGTCGAGATTTTTCTATACTTTTTTTTTCTCGAACGCGTAGAAAACACCTCGTCAAATATCAGAAGAGCGGTGTTGTAAAGTGAGTCAAACCGGTGCACAACATTCCGTGAGATAATGTGGGTTATATTAGCGGATATAAGTGGGTTCGTTGACGAGTTTTGCGATAGTGAGAAAGTTTTTTCGGTTTTTGCTGGACAGAGGAGAGGTGCGAAGCGTTTGTTCATCTTGGTACACTCGGGTGCGACGTAGGCTTCCTTTAATTAGAGGCCAAGGGGAGGGTCCGCCATTTCTTGATCCAATTTACAGATTTATGAATTCCAAGAGCTGTAAATTCCTACAGAAAGTTCACAAATTTTTGCATATAGGCATTTCTAAATTTCGAAATTTTTGAATAAGGAAATTTAGAACTCCCTCTTTTGAATACAAAAATTTAGAAATTTAGAAATTTAACTTGGGAATTTGTGAACAAATTCCTGAGCCTCTAACTTTCTCGATATGAAAGTTGAAAAATTAAAATTAAAAAATTTTGAGAGTCGTAAGCCACCCTTCCCTATATCGCCGTTCTCCAACGGAAGCCTACCGTGCTCGCTACTGTACACTTCGTTAACACTTTGACAGCCACCGTCACGTTTCGTGACTTATTTACCGTGTGATCACTGTGTAGCGGTCGTAGCAATTACAGATCGATAATTGAATCAAGAAGTAATAGAATGAATAGAACATTTCAAGTATAATACGATGTTAGCGTCTACCATTGCCTAGTTCATTAAATACATTTACCGTGAGACTGTAACACGTAGCTTAGAAATTATTAATAACAATCAGAATACGTATTTATTAATAAAACGGTATCGTTAACCCTCGAGCGACAGAACTGGGTCAGTTGTAAACCCGAAGTTAATCAAATGTAAACCGAAAGTTTACATTCGATACCAGACCTCGATTAAAATTAGACTAAACCTTTGAAGCGCAAAGAATGCGAAATGAAATTCATATTGGTCGTTCAAGGGTTAAAGCTCTGTTTGCGCGTAAAACGACTCGTAAAATTGTAAATGTAGATTCCATAAAACTGTCTGGCCGTCAAAGTGTTAAATGTTCGTCAGTTACCGATGCCGATACGTTTCTGCCATTACTGAGGTTTAAAACTTTGGTGGTTTCGAGGATTCGCGTTTATCTGTCGCCAGATACGATAACGATGACGATTGCAATACTAAATGACCATTTTACTTGAATTATGGAGGCTGAGACAAGTGCTTCCACTTCGAAGAACAATTAATATAAGCATTCTTGAGCGTGATTCTGCAACGTCAAAGAGTATCTGCGCGAGCAAACGGATCTGCGTTAGCGAAAGGCTTTATTGGCCTAAGACTTACTGCCTTAAATTGCCAAATGCCTAGTGTTAGAACCCGAGGTAGGAGAGGGAGGGTGTGCTCGGATAACACGGTCCAACAAACTTCAACTTTCTTTATTTCATTTCTATACACACTGTGCGTTTTACAGAATTTCCTGCTAGTTTCTTGAGCACTGAATCTGCGAGGTGATTCAGTGGAAGACGGCGCAGCCATGTTTGGAAGACGCAGCGCGCGAAATTTGAATCTCACTAAAACACAATTCATCAAATTAAGCTTAAATTCTCAATTGCTTTACACTTAAATTATATTTATTATATCTTCTTTTACTTTTAAAGTGCTAGTTCAATATATTACACTGTGGTTCAAAATTTATTCTTCTTCATAAAAACTATGTGAACGTTTCTGATATTAACCTTATTGAAAATAATTAAAATAAAATTCTCTAAGTTTAAATAAATTCTCTCTTGCAATATAATTGCATAACAAATAACAGTTTGTTCGTAATCAAAGTTCTATTGAAAAAGACGCGTAGTGAGTATAGAAATGTATGTAAATCGTTGGACAGTGTATCGATAAAATTAAGAATTTCTACATTTCGAGGTACGATTTCTGTTCACTTCCAAAAAGGGGGAAATCGTGTTCACCGGAGGTTTGTTTCGTAGAGTACAAATATTTTTCGAGAGGAAATTTTTTCGCGATTATTGCGGTCTGATTTTGCAACGAGGATTTATCGAGCCGAGTCTGACGGATGTCCGTTCCAAGCGACGGAAATCGCAGAAAAATCCGTTTCCCCGAACTGTGCGCGTCGATCGAGTTCTGTACTTTCTTTTTTCTTTTTTTTTCGAGTTAATTGACAATTCGAACGCGCCTACGTTTTAGAGCCAAAGATCTTGCAGATACTTAAATCGCTTCGTGAACCTTTTAAAGGAGATAAACCAGTCTGCTGACTTCAGAATGACAACTTTCATAGTTTTCCTAAAAAATAATTATTCTTATTAATTTTCTTAAATTTTTATTCTGTCAAGTGTTGTTAGCTTTCATTATTAACATGTTAGAAGTGCAAAATAAAATATGTGCGTGAGATAAAATGTTGTCATTGTAACTCGAGCGCCGCCATTTTGTTTCTCTTCTAACATGTCAGTATTCGAAACTCATAGTCAAAGCTTCGATTAGGAAATAGCAGTGTAAAGTTCATACTGTCCAAATTATTAAGAAAATTATTCTATAGATTATTTCTCATTTTGAAGTCCGCACAGTGGTTTCAACCCTTGACACGAAAACCACCCCCATACACCCACTCGCGAGGACAGACGATCATCGAGTACACGAATGATCCGCGAGCAAAAAACGAGACCTGAGAGCATCAGCACGAAACGGGAGCACGCCGAAAATTTTTTTTCGTTCAAATAATCAAACACCTTAGATTGCGGCTAAACATTAGTTTCTTAGTTGGGTTCATTTCAGCCGATTGCATACGATTTTTTCTCTCCTCTTGTGTAATTTGTATATGTTTTCTTGCCTTTGTTTATTATATTTTTTTAAATTCATTTCTGGGAAAAATCAGATCATCAAATTTACTTAGTACTGCTTGATTAGCTCTTGGACCATACGTGTTTTAGTGCGCATGATGTGTGTTATGATTACGATTATTATTATTATTATAATTATTGATTATCTTTAATTTCACCGTTGCTATTAGCGTTATTTACCATTATTACTATTGTTATTGTATCATCAAGGCGTCACAAAGCTGCTACTTTAATTTACTATAATTACAATATTATTATCGTCACCGTCGTCGTTATGATATTATAATCGTGTTTAAATTAATTACTGATGTATCCCTATTGTATACACGTATTACCGTAATTACCGTTAGTATTATCGTCACCATTGTCACCATTATCGTCGTCAGATACGTCGCCAAAATTATTGTGTGTATATTGTTCATATAGGCGGAATTTCCGTTCGAGTGAAAGAGAAACGGGTGCTACAGAAGGAACATTGATTCCAAGTTACGAAGACTCTGTCGTCCGTGCATCAAATACAAATGGTCCTTGCAAGGAAACATTTCTCACTTTCGTGTCGGAAAATAACATACCTTTTTCAAACCTGTGAAACACTTTGTCAAAAGATTGCAGAAATATTACTGATCAATATCTACATCGCTTTGTAATTTTTTTATGTCACCCACCTTCAGTTTTACAAACTGCAAGAACTTTTAAGGTGGTTCATTAAAAATTATGAAAAATATTTTTATTGTAAAGTTACATGATTAATTGGACATCATTTATGTTTCATAGAGTGAAATATAGTTTCCAATTGCAAGATCTTAACCTAAATCGTCATAACTGATATATCGAATGAGTACAAAATTTTAATGGCGCAGTAAAAAGAAACGTTTCCTTATTAGCTGTGCACTTGAGGATCGATAATAAACACAGTTTGCGACAGGGTCGTCGAACTTGAATCCCTTGCGTTTAGCTCACTTGCCTGGGTTCTTAGATGTTAGACATTTTAATCGCATGGCATGCGCTTGTATTTTCAGTTGCCGATTCTTTTTTTGTGTTTTGATTTCTTCTCTTTTATGTTCACTTCAGTTTCCTTCCGTTTCGTTCGAGTGGCATGCA